ACCCTGTGGCAAAGGATCAGCTTCTTGTCTGCTCATACAAAGCTAATTAGTTGGTACAGCTGCAGCATAGGTCAGTCAGGAGCAGGCAATGGAGGAAAAGCAGTACTGTGCCTTGCAGAATTTGTGACTTTTCTATAACAGGCACTTGACTTAATCCTCTCAATTTCATCCTTTCAATTTGATACTTTATACACTTTTTTAAAGGACTGGTAACTCTGTGACACATTTAAACCATTGTCAATCATATCTAATATAGGATGATTTAAAGTTCTGAGAGTAGATATCAATGAAAAATGAGTAAAAAAGATGCATGAGGGCATTTCAATAACATAGAGATGTGTAAAGCAATTACTCTAATAGGACAAACAGAAATTTCTCAGAGAAGAGCGTATGAAGAATTGACATTGTTCCTTGTTCCTTAGCCAGTGACAGCCATTCCTGACAAGCCCAGTAACTCAGGAGACCAGAAAGTGGACCCTTGCATGAAGATCATGAGTCCACTTACCTATTTCTTTATCCAGCTTATTCAAATAAACAACACAAAGCTATGTAGGACAAAATCAAGTCTTATATATTTAGTCTTAATACTACAAAGCTAATAACAATGTATGCATCTATGTGTGGAGCTCTTACTATGTACCTGAAATACTGCCAAGCAATTAATGAGATATAAATAACATAATATTTAAAACAAAAAGTCTATAAGTCCCATTTTATAGACAAAGATAATATGGCAAAGAGAAGCCAAATATATTTTATAAGGATATAGGTCCAATGTAAGTGACATAAGTCCAGGCAGCCTGGTTATGGGTTATACTGTCTTATTAAAAAGACAAAAAGAAAATCTGAATAGAAAAAAATTAGCCTATAGTGAATAAATAAGTACATTCCAAATATTTTAGAAAGATAATATATTTATTTGACAAAACAAATCTATCTATGAATTTTGAAAGTATATGCAAATTAGGACAGTCTTATATTTAACATATTTATTATTCTTCATACACTAACAGATTTATTCTTATCTTCCTATAAGATGGGTAGACATTTGCAGCAATGTAATTTTGTCTACGAATCACTCTCAGAAAACAGGCCACCAGTTTTCTTGATTTGATCTACTCAGCAGGCCAGGGCAGGTGGGTCTCCATGAGCTCTTGTCATTGAGTGCATTAGGGTTGTCAACCTCCACATCCAGTTACATGATGGCTGCTTAGCCAAAACACTCCGGCCCTTCCTTGTGTCTCCAGTGTCTTCTTTTAGAAGTGTGTGCAAGATAGTTTGCCTCCTGATGCTGGAGGTGGCTTCCTGGGCTAATCTGACACAGAGAACAGAAAACTAACGTGACCTAGCCCAATGCTGGAGGCTGCGTTGGTGTTATTATTATTGTCGTTTCTTAACACTTGTTATCCTATCTCTTAATAAATATAAATATTTTTTAAATAAAATAAAGAAAGAAAGTTTTCCTTGGCAACTGAGGCTGTAATGCCTTGAGATATCATTTCTCATTAAAAATCAGCAGCACAGCATAGAGATTTTTATCCTGCAGAAAGATCACCTCACAAGCATTTATATTCCTTCTCCACCTAACTCCAACATAGCATCCTAGCACCAAGATAGGATTAAGAGTTTCTTCTGACAGAATCTCAGCTTCGATTTTTCAAAATAATATTGATTTCTGCAAAGTATGAGCCACAATTAACAGAAGTCTCAGAACTAGGAAAAGAGAAACAATTACTTTCCCACATATTAGTACATGTGTATGTGTGTATGTATGCACACACATGTAAATAATGTACACCAAGGATATGGCAAAAGGATATGAAAGTTGTTATTCAGTTGTTTAACAGTGCACTGGTTTAATATTTGATTTTTGTTTTTATTTTGTTGTTCATGATGTGCTACTTTTATTCTTTCATATCTTAACATTTATTTGTTGAGGTTACATACCCTTGCAGAGAGTGGAAATATGAATAGGGAATTCCCAGGAAATATTATTAAACCTAATAAAAGCAACACATAAACTCCTGGAACTTTTTTTCTTTTGTCCTCTATCCTGTCATTTCATTCAGAATATATGAGTGCAATTTTAAAATGTTTTAAAATAAGAATTTTTGAACAATATTTCTTTTGCAATTAAACAGAAAAACAGTCAATGAAATAGAAATAATTAGTGATATAAGTAAACATAATCATAAAGTTTTGTCTTTACTTTGCTTCTACTTATGGAGTTTTGAAAACTTCTAAAATGAAACCCACATAACAGAAGAGTGAAATAATTATGAGCCTGAGCGAAGAAACAGAATTCCTACGTTCTAATCTCAGAGGCAACTATTTTATTTTGTTTTTGAGATAGAGTATCACTCTGTCTCCAGGCTGAAGTGCAGTGGCGCGATCTCGGCTCACTGCAACCTCCACCTCTGGATTCAAGCAGTTCTCCTGCCTCAGCCTCCCGAGTAGATGGAACTACATGCATGCAACACCAAACCTGGCAAATTTTGGTATTTTTAGTAGAGAAGGGGTTTCACCATGTTGGCCAGGATGGTCTCGATCTCTTGACCATGTGATCTTCTTGCCTCGGCTTCCCAAAGTGCTGGAATTACAGACATGAGCCACTACACCCAGCCTCAGATGCAACTCTTATATGTTACTGACACCAGTCAAGTTACACAACTTTTTTCTGCTCTATTCTCCTCACTTGTAGAATGAGTGTAATGATAGTCCTTCACAACTTTGTCATGAAGATTAACATGTAGTTTATCATTAACATCACATGTGTTAAGCACTTAAAGCAGTACATAGCACATTGTAAATGCTATAGAAGTTAAATAAAATATACCACTTACAATAAAATCAGCTAGATTAACCCTTGAGTCTCATCATATTCTATTGTGAGATAAAGAAGAAAATTGATTATTAGAAATAACAATATAATTAAAATATCTTTACTTTTATATCTATCTATCAGTTAAATTCAATTGTAATCATGTACCAAAAAAACAAACACAACATTTAGAAAATCAGGTAGTGAGAAAGGAAGGGATGTCAATGACATCTGGGAGATCCTTCTGCATGGCTTTAATGATACATAATATTTTCTTTATGGTAATGTAATCATATACAGCCAAAAATACAAGATTTTGTTAAAAGGCATAGTGGGAATATGACTATTATATTTATCTATACCATAAAAATAAGTATTTAATTTAAAAAAAGATGACTTAAGACTCACACATGCCTAATGTCAATCCTGTCTTTGCTAATTATAAGCTTTATGACTTTGGGCAAGTCATTTATTCTCTCTGTACTTCACTTTCTTCTTATTTCTATGACCTAATAAATGTTGAGATAATTCAGAGCAAAAAGAGGTATCCCAGATTTAACTGTCAATATATACATGTTGTAAATAAAATTAAAAAGAAGACGGTCACCAATTATTTCAGTTTTCTTATTAAGTTCCCAATTGAAGAATGGCAATATGAAGAATTTCCATTATTAGTGACACAATGGCTTAGGGATTGTTTCTGGAATTGATGCCTAACACACAGTCAAAAAGGAAAAAGGCAGACTTAATAAAATCCAAATAAAAGATTACAAAATTACTGGTAGTTTTGCCTTGAATAATTCGCCATAAACACTACACCTATAAATTATGAAAGTGATATCTCTAAAATTGAATATTAAGTGTACATTACTTAGAACAATAAGTTCTCCTTCAAAATCCCTAGCAAAATCAGTTCCTTTATGTGTAACAAAGAGAAGAAAAAAATTCAGAATTAAAGAGTGTACAACAAAAGTTGATAATAAACATCAGTTTAATAATTTGAAAAAAAATATTTTAGAAGTCGATCCTTTATGAAATTTGTAATTGCATGAGACATAGAGTAGGATTGTGTGGATCTTATATAATCATGTATATCAATGATTCTGACTTGGATTGTGCATTACAATAAACTATGGAGATTTTTTTTTTTATTGTACTTTAGGTTCTGGGGTACATATGCAGATAATGCAGGATTGTTGCATAGGTACATACATGGCAAGGTGGTTTGCTGTCTCTATCGCCCCATCACCTATACCTGGCATTTCTCCCCACATTACCTCTCCCCACTCTCCCTACCCCCAACTGTCCCTCCCTTAGCCCCTGCTAACACACCCCAGTGTGTGATGCTTCCCTCCCTGTGTCCATGTGTTCTCATTGTTCAACACCCACCTATGAGTGAGAACATGTAGTGTTTGATTTTCTGTTCTTGTGTCAGTTTACTGAGAATGATGGTTTCCAGATTCATCCATGACCCTACAAAGGACAGAAACTGTGTCCACAAATGGGCAAAACAAACAACCAGTAACAAAATGGCAGGATTAAATTCACACATAACAATATTAACATTAAATGTAAACAACCTAAATGCCCCAATAAAAAGACACAGACTAGCAAACTGAATAAAATGTAAAAACCCATTGGTGTGCTGCAGGAGACCTATCTCACATGCAAAGACACACATAGACTCAAAATAAAGGGAAGGAAGAAGATCAAGCAAATGGAGAGCAAAAAAATAAAAAAAGCAGGGGTTGCAATCCTAGTCTCTGAAAAAATGGACTTTAAACTAACAAAGATCAAAAGAGACAAAGAAGGTCATTACATAATGGTAAAACAAGAAGAGCTAACTATCCTAAATACATACTTACCCAATACAGGAGCACCTAGATACATAAAGCAAGTTCTTAATGACCTTCAAAGAGACTTAGACTCCCACACAATAATAGTAGGAGACTTTAACAATCCACTGTCAATATTAGACAAATCAACCAAACAGAAAATCAACAATGATATCCAGGACTTGAATGCAGATCTGAAACAAGCAGACCTAATAGACATCTACAGAACTCTCCACCCCAAAGCCACAGAATATACGTTCCTCTCAGCACCACATCACACTTACTTTAAAATTGACCACATAACTAGAAGTAAATCACTCCTCAGCAAATGCAAAAGAATAGAAATCATAAGAAACAGTCTCTCAGACAACAGTGCAATCAAATTAGAACTCAGGATTAAGAAACTAACTCAAAACTGCACAACTTCATGGAAACAACTGGCTCCTGAATGTCGACTGGATAAACAATGAAACAAAGGCAGAAATAAAGATGTTCTTTGAAACCAATGAGAACAAGAACACAGCATACCAGAATCTCTGGGACACATTCAAAGCACTGTCTAGAGGGAAATTTATAGCAATAAATGCCCACATGAGAATTGAGAAAAGATTAAAATTTACACCTTATCATCAAAATTGAAAGAGCTAGAGGATCAAGACTTTAAAAACTCAAAAGCCACATTTTCCCTGTCCAGTCTATCATTGATGGGCTTTTGGGTTGGTTCATTCTCAGCAAACTGACAGAAGAGCAGAAGATCAAATACCGCATGTTCTCACTCATAGGCGGGTGTTGAACAATGAGAACACATGGACACAGGGAGGGGAGCACTACACACTGGAGTCAGTTGGGGGGAAATAGGGGAGGGACGGTGGGGGGTGGGGAGCTGGGGAGAGGTAGCAAGGGGAGAGATGCCAGATGTAGGTGATGGGGAGGAAGGCAGCAAATCACACTGCCACGTGTGTACCTATGCAACAGTCTTGCATGTTCTTCACATGTACCCCAAAACCTAAAATGTAATAAAATAAATAAATGGGAAAAAAACCTCAAAAGCTAGCAGAAGACAAGAAATAACTAAGATCACAGCAGAACTGAAGGAGATAGAGACACAGAAAACCCTTCAAAAAATCAATAAATCCAGGAGATGGTTTTTGAAAAGATTAACAAAATAGACAGACTGCCAGCCAGATTAAGAAAAAAAATATAAGGAGAGGATAATCAAATCGATGCAATAAAAAATGATAAAGGGGATATCACCACCAATTTCACAGAAATACAAACTACCATCCAAAATTACTGCAAACAACTCTATGCACATAAACCAGTAAACCTGAAAGAAATGGATACATTCCTGGACCCTTGTACCCTCCCAAGACTAAACCAGGAAGAAGTTGAAACCCTGAATAGATCAATAACATGGACTGAAGTTGAGGCAGCAAACAATAGTCTACCAACCAAAAAAAGCCCAGGTCCAGATGGGTTCATAGCCAAATTCTACCAGATGTACAAAAAGGAGCTGGTACCATTACTTCTGAAACTATTCCAAGCAATACAAAAAGAGGGAATCCTCTCTAATTCATTTTATAAGACCAACATCATCCTGATACCAAAACCTGGCAGATACTCAACAAAAAAAAGAAAACTTCTGGCTAATATCCATAATGAAAATATATGCAAAAATCTTCGGTAAAATACTGGCAAACAGATTGCAACAGCACACCAAAAGCTTATCCATCACAACCAAAAAGGCTTCATCCTAGGGATGAAGGCTGGTTCAATGGAAGCAAATTTATAAACATAATCCATCACATAAATAGAACCAAAGTCAAAAACCACAAGATTATCTCAATAGATACAAAGAAGGCCTTCAACAAAGTTCACAGTCCTTTGTGCTAAAAACTCTCAATAAACTAGATATCAATGGAATGTATCACAAAATAATAAAAGCCATTTACGACAAACCCACAGCCAGTATCATACTGAACAGGCAAAAACTAGAAGCATTCCCTTTGAAATCTGGCACTAGACAAGGATGCCCTCTCTCACCACTCCTATTCAATATAGTATTGGAAGTTTCAGCCAGAGCAATCAGGCAAGAAAAAGAAATAAAGGATATTCAATTAGGAAAGGAGGAAGTCAAATTGTCTCTATTTGCAGACGACATGATTGCATATTTAGAGGACCCCATCATCTCAGCTCAAAAGCTCCTTAAGCTAATAGGCAACTTCAGCAGTCTCAGGATACAAAATCAATATGCAGAAATCACACGCATTCTTATACACCAATAACAGACAAAGAGAGAGACAAATCAAATGTAAACTCCCATTCACAATTGCTACAAAGAGAATAAAATGCTAGGAATACAACTAACAAAGGAAGTAAAGGACCTCTTCAAGGAGAACTATGAACCACTGCTCAAGGAAATAAGAGAGGTCACAAACAGATGGAAAAACATTCCATGCTCATGGTTAGGAAGAATCAATATTGTGAAAATAGCCATACCACCCAAAGCAATTTATAGATTCAATGCTCTCCCCATCAAGCTAGCAATGACCATCTTTACAGAACTGGAAAAACCACTTTAAACTTCATATGGAACCAAAAGAGAGCCCACTTAGCCAAGACAATCCCAAGCAAAAAGAACAAAGGTGGAGGCATCACGCTGCCTGACTTGAAACTATATTACAAGGGTACAGTAATCAAAACAGCATGATACTTGTAGCAAAACAGCAAGAGACACAGACCAATGGGACAAAACAGAGGCCTTGGAAGCAACACCACACATCTGCAACCATCTGATCTTTAACAAACCTGACATAAACAAGCAATGGGGAAAGGTTCCCCTGTTTAATAAATGGTGTTGGGAAAATTGGCTAGCAATGTGCAGAAAGCAGAAGTTGGACTCCTTAATGACATCTTAAATTAAAATTAAGCCCAGGTGGATTAAAGATTTAAATAGGAGATTTTATTTTTTAGATGGATGACTAAAGATTTCAGATACAAGTACTTCTTAGAAAAATGAGCCAAAGTTACAAGTGAATAATCATGGCCCAAGTGTAGTACTGATGGGAGAATGATAGAGCATATTGGTTCAGAATTCATGTAAAGAAGAAAGAAGCTGGGCCACAGAGCAAGAAGAAACCAAGAGTTTGGCAGACTTTAACTCCTGAGGAATTCAGAGTCTCATGGAAAGCATCAGTGGGCATTTTTTTGGCTTCCCTCATCCCTGCATCAGACTGCTTGTTTCTGAATTCTCAGAGAGCACCTCAGCCCTTGTGAGCCCAAGCACTGGTGTGGGTGGCAATTGGGAAATTCTTGTGGGCAGAGCACTGGGCAGCCAGCTCATGCAGTGTCTGTCACCCTCCCCACAGACCCCAGCTAAGCTGGCAGGTACCATATTTGTTGTGTGCCCATTATGGGCCACTGTTATGCCCAGAGAGTCTTAATCCTTGTGTCTCTACATCACTGGATTCCCTGGCAACATAACTGAGCCCCACTCATATGGAAGCAACTAAAGCGGGTTGATGGTAAATGGGGGAGCTATGGGATTTCCAGAGGTCTAGCCCTGAGGGTGGGCTGCTCTTAGGAGAAAGGAGAGTGAAGTATGTCAAAGCACCCCTTGGGACAAAGAAAACCAGAGTATACACTCTACTGTGCCTGAGAGCTCTAGGCTTGTGAGTTGAAGTGACTGTGCCCTTTCAAATGGAGATGCAGGTAGGTGCCAGGCTCTGTAGAGGAGGAATATGGTTCTACCACAGAGATGAGGTGACACAAGTGACCAGAACAGATGTGAAAAGGTTACTTCTCCTTCTCTGTCCCCCACTGCGGTGGATGCAGCTGTGGCTATTCCCATGGGTCCTGGCATGGGTGTGCCAGCAGATGGCCATTCCAGAATATTAGGGTGGTTGCAACCCCAATGTCTGGGTGGCTACCAATCCCAGACTTGCATAGAATGAACAGCACTTCCCCTTCTCTACACATGGTGGCAGCATTCCTGCAGCAGAGATTAGGTGGCTGACAAAGTCCTCTGTTTTGGGCTGAAGTAAGAAGTTGGACTCCAAGGCCATTTGGAGGAAGAGTCACAGGAAAATTGTTTTCTGTGGCCCTCAGCTACATTGTAGCCTGGAGATAAGTAACAGTGCCTATCTGAATTAGAAGTCATGAGCCCTGGAAAAGGGATGTGATAGGGAGGCAGACTGCATTCCTGTTTGCCTAAAATGTGAAGCTAGTGCACCTCCTACCCTCTGACCTCACTCACAGAAACCTCAGTGCATTTCACCACAAGTTCCCCCTGCCACTCCCATCAGGGCTGGTACTTATGATTGTCATTGGGGTTCCTAAGGACAAGCTTGGCAGCCCAGTGCCACCCAGTGTTGTACCCAACACTGTGGCTTAGAAGCAAACTCAGGGCACCATGCTTTACATAGAGCAGTCTACCATCTAAGACCACAGAAAACCCCTCCCAGCTGACAGAGATCAAACACATATGCATAAGCGTCTGCCACATCAAAATCTTACTCATAAATGCTCCACTGGCCTGGAAGTTGAACGATACAATGCAGTACATAAGAGGCTAACCTAAGTGTACAGGTCTGTGAAACAAGATAAACTACCTGAGATCTCCCTAACCCTGGTCCTACAGGAAATAATCAGTCTGATCATATGCTCAGTACACTGCCATTGCAACTGGTATTTGAGAGAGTCATCATACAAAGGCTATCTATAACCAAGAAACTCATACAGAGTGTTGGCCCCCTGAAAGGACCCAGAATCAAAGCCAAATAAGTATGTAGAGTATGTATTACAGCCATGCACTCAAGGAAGCAAAAATAATTTTAATGAAAGTCTCATCCAAACAAAGGCACACTCAAAAACAAGAAATGGCACTTTCTAAAGAGAAAGAACCAGTGCAATGAATCTGGTGGTATTTAAATAACAGTTTTTAAGACCCTTCCAAAAAAGGTCACACTAACTCTCAAGGAATAGATTCTAAACAAAGTAAAAATTCTTAAATGACAGATAAAAAATTCAAAAAATAACTTGTGAGGAAACTCAATGAGATTCAAGAGAAAGTTGAAAGTCAGCACTAAAACATTAGAAAAATAATTCAGGATGTAAATACAAAATTTACTAAAGCGATGGAAATTTAAAGAAAGAAACAACTGGAAATCAGAAAGTTAATGAAGCAATTACATAATACAGTTAAAAGCTTTATGATAGACGAGCACAACCAGAAAAAAAAAAAAAAATCAGAGCTTAAAGGCTGGTCCTTTTAGTTAATCCATACAAAATGATAAAATAATTTTAGAAGGTAAGCAAAGAAATTAAAAAAAAAAATAGTGAATTATGCAAAGTGACCAAACCTATTAGTTATAGGCATTGCTGAGAGAGAAGAAAAATTAAAGGTATGGAAACCTACTTAAGGGAAAAATTTAGGAAAAGCCTCCTTGATCTTTGCAGAAAATTAGATATTTGGACACAAGAAGCTAAGAGAACTATTACAGATAGTCTGATGGACAACCCGCATAATCTGAGACCATCCAAAGTCAATTTTTAAAAAAAAATTCTAATAGCAGCAAGAGAGAAGCATCTAGTCACTTATAAATGAAATCTCATCAGACCAGTAGCAGACTCCTCAACAGAAACCTTAAAAGCCAGAAATACCGAGGTTCTATTTTCAGTATCTTAAAAAAAATTGCAAGCCCAAAATTTCAATCCTGCTAAACTAAGCTTCATAAATGAAAATCAAATAAAATCTTTCCTGGACAAGCAAATGCTATAGGAATTAGTCACCACTAGACAAATTGTACAAGATATGCTCAAAGGAATTATAAATGTCTTGTCTAAATAAAAGGCAATAAGTGCCATCATAAAAGAACATAGAAGCATGAAACTCAAAGATCTTATGAGGCAATTACACAATTGAGACTACAGAGCATCTAGATTCTGCACAGCAAAAGAAACAATCATTAGAGTGAATCGGCAACCAAGAGAATTGGAAAAAATTCTTGCAATCTACCCATCTGACAAAGGGCTAATATCCAGAATCTACAAAGAATTAAAACAGATTTACAAGAGAAAAACAAGCAAGCCCATTCAAAAGTGGGCGAAGGATATGAACAGACACTTTACAAAAGAAGACATATATGAGGCCAACAAACATATGAAAAAATCCTCATCATCACTGGTCATTAGAGAAATGCAAATCAAAACTACATTGACATACCATCTCACACCAGTTAGAATGGCGATCATTAAAAAATCTGAAGATGCTAGAGAGGATGTGGAGAAATAGGAACACTTTTACACTGCTGGTGGGAGTATAAATTAGTTCACCCATTGTGGAAGACAGTGTGGAGATTCCTCAAGGACCTGGAAATAGAAATTCCATTTCACCCAGCAATCCCACTACTGGGTATATATCCAAATGATTATAAATCATTCTATTATAAGGAGACATGCACACGAATGTTCATTACAGCACTGTTTACAACAGCAAAGACTTGGAACCAACCCAAATGCCCATCGATGATAGATTTGACAGGGAAAATGTGGCACATATACACCATGGAATACTATGCAGCCATAAAAAACAATGAGTTCGTGTCCTTTGTAGGGACATGGATGAACCTGGAAACCATCATTCTCAGCAAACTGACATAAGAACAGAAAATCAAACACCGCATGTTCTCACTCATAGACGGGTGTTGAACAATGAGAACACATGGACCCAGGGAGGGGAGCATCACACACTGGGTTCTGTCTTGGGAACTAGGGGTGGGAAGTGGGGGGTGGGGAGTTGGGGAGGGATAACAGGGGTAGAAATGCAGATATAGGTGATGGAGAGGAAGGCAGCAAACAACATTGCCATTTATGTACCTATGCAACAATCTTGCATGTTCTTCACATGTACCCCAAAACCTAAAACGCAATAAAATATATATTTTAAAAAAGTAACAGGTAACATCATATAGGAACAACACCTCACATATCACAAATTCATAGACTTTAGAAATTGAGGGAAGTAAGAGAGGTATTTTTAAAGGGTTAAAATAACACTTAAATTTTAAAAGATTATTCTCCAAACAAGTTTATTTTAACCAAAAGATTTTACTTTCTAACCTATATAGTGGGATATTGTTTATGTGGGACCCAATCCAAGGAATAGCAAATAAGTAGGAAAAGTGAGGTGGTGAAAGGAGAAAATACAATCATAGGTGGATTTATGCAAAGGTCACTTTGTGACCACCTATAAGTTTAATTCCACTGGAGACCCTTGAAGAAATAGTGTAGAACCTATTTCAGACTTGTGTCTCTGAGGATAAATGTTTGGGTTATATATCCACTAACATCTACCTTTTACTGATTAAGGATTAGCCTTGGAGATGTGAAAACTCAGCACTTCCATGCTCTCTTTGTGGTCTGAGGAAGGCTTTATAGATCTGGTGAACACTCAGGCAGAGAAGCAGAGATGCAGCCTCTTGAGGAAGGAAGCCTTTGGCATACACAGAACAATTTCACTGCAGCTATAGATGAGCTTCCACATGGGAAGAAAGGATACACATAGGGCTGAGAAACCACAGTATATTTTATGCAATTAAATGGAGAGCTGTATTTGTATCTAATAATAAAAATTAGTGCAAGTATTATAAATCATGAGAATATAAAAATATAATTATACAATTTAGGACATGGAATAAAAGAAGAGGAAAATGATTTATAACAATAAAAATAAATTTAAAATAACTAAAATATAGAATGAAAAAATTGGGAGTTGTTTAGGTGAGATAAAAAGGTAGAAGGCAGCATAGGTACCCCATATTTTGTGCTTTTTTAATCTGAACTGTCAGTTCTAGTTTCTATGTTGATGCATCCATAAATAGAGACACAAATGAATTATTTATCCCTATCATAGTAATTATAGGAATAATTAAACTTGGAAATTTTAAACATGATTTCCTTTAGAGAGGTGGAGTGGAATTGAGAATTATGAGCTGACAAAACAGTTTCTTGCTGTTTTATATAATTCTCTTCTAAACTCATTCATTTACATTGGATTAAGTTGTTTTGTTTTGTTTTGTTTTTTCCAGAAAATTAAACCACTGGACATAGTGAGAGAAGTGAAGCGTATGCGATCACAGTGCATGACAATGACGTAGACTAAGCTTTAATATGGTCTTGTAATTTATACTAGGCCTTCTGTATGTCATAAAGGTCATAGTCACTGTTTCAAATATTTTTATGTAAAAATGACTAAAATTATGCTTAAATTCGGTGTTATTTTACAGAATATATTTGATATCAAAGAGTCATCATAACTTAATTCATAAACTTTAACTTTCCTCTCTGTTTTTACATTAATCATTTTAGGCTGAAAGTATTATTGTTTCAAACATTAGATGGATACACTGTTCTGTAATTGGGGCAGAAAACCAATTCTCTTTAAAAGTAAGAGCCATTTACTTTGGTGACACTGATACAATAATAAAATGGAAGGCAGTTGTCCTGATAATGACTCTTGATCGAACTTTATGTACAGTCACCCAATAGGGCAGATTTTATACCGTAGAATTCTTACAGAAAGAAAAAACATTGAAGAGGCTAAGAACAGGCAGCACTGTTGGAGTTTATACTGACCACATGCTAGAAAATTACACACAGTAGGATTTAAACAGCTCATAGAATTTTTCCTGCTTCTCTCCCACCTGCAATGTTATTGTTTTTCTCCTGTGCAGTGGTGGCAGAAACACTATGTTCTTTAAAGTTATTGAGCAGATATTTGTTTTAAAAATAAAATGGCGAGGAGATCCAAGATGGCCGTTTAGGAACAGCTCAGGATTGCAGCTCCCAGTGAAAACGCAGAGGGTGAGTGGACGCCGCGTTTTTATTGCCCACAGACTAGGAAATTCCCGGGCAGAGGTGCTCCACGCTCGCCAGCGCGGCTGTTGTGGCCAGCGCTGCTGTGCCGGCCATCGCCGACCGGCGCCGCTGCTCTGCCCCGCGCGGCTGCTTTGTCGGCGCCCCGGAGCCGCGGTTCTCCGTACAAAATACACCGGTCCGGGTGCCCTTTTGGCTGGCGATTGGAGCCACGGGAAGTCGCCCATATGCTGGTTCAAAAAGGGGACTGAGCAGAGAACCAGGACAGTAGATTCCAGGGCAAAAAAAAAAAAAAGAAAAAAAAGCGCCACAAACCTCAGTGCCGCTGTTTAAGCCAGCGCAGTGAGTGGCCGCAGGGGAAAACAAACAGACCCCGGCGGCTCTTCAACAGGCGACTGGAACACCAACTTAAAAAAGGCTCTGAGGCAGGGAGCCAGGCGATCAGGCTCGGCTGGCCCCACCCCCACAAAAGAACAGCAACCAGAAACTCTGGATTGAGAATTTCACAGCAAGTGCAGCTGAACCCGGGACAGTCCAGCTCTGTGGGGGAGGGGCGTCCGCCATTACCTAGGCAGCCCGCCGTTGCCAAGGCAACCCACCATTGCTGAGGCAGCCCGCCGTTGCCAAGGCAACACGCCACAGCAGAGACTCCGCCCCAACAGAGGCGGGCCACCATCGCCAAAGCAGTTCTAACTACACCCATATAAACAGGACTGCAGGGAAGTTCACTCGGCAGCGGGGCGCAGCCCACAGCAGCTCAGCAAAGCTGCTATAGGCCGACAGTGACTAGGCTGCCTCCTTGCTGGGCTGGGCAGGTCTGAATGAAAAAAAGAAAAAAAAAAAAAAAGAAGGCAGCAGCATAACGGAAACTCATAAATAAAGCCCTAAATCCCTGGGACAGAGCACCTGGGAACAAAAAGCAGTTTATGAGTTCTGCTGCAGCAGACCTAAAAGTACCTGCCCAGCAGCTCTGAATGAACAACAACAGAGCTCACAGCTCACCATTTGAGCTCCTATAAAGAAAAGACCGTCTCCTCAAGCAGCTCCCTGACCCCTATATATCCAAAAAGACACCTCATAGAGGAGAGATCAGATTGACACTAGGCGGGTATCCTTCTGGGACAAAGATAGAAGAAGAAGAAAACTGGTAACAACCCTTGCTGTTCAACAGCTGCTGCAGGTGAACCCCAGGCAAGCAGGGCCTGGAGTGAACCTCAGCAGACCTACAGCAGAGGGGCCAGACTGTCAGAAGGAAAACCAAGAAGCAGAAATAACCTCATCATCAACAAACAGAACGTCAATCTGAAAGATTTGAGACCCAATCTGAAAGCCAGCAACTACAAAGTCGACAGGTGGATAAATCCTTAAGGATGGGAAGAAACCGGCGCAAAAAGGATGAAAACACCGGAAACCAGAACACCTCTCCTCCTAAAAGGGATCACAACTCCTCGCCAGCAAGGGAACAAGGTTGGATGGAGAATGAGTGTGATGAAATGACAGAATCAGAATTCAGAAGGTGGGTAGTAAGAAACTTCTGTGAACTTAAAGAACATGTTCTAACCAAATGCAAAGAAACTAAGAACCTTGAAAAAAGATTTGACGAAATGCTAACAAGAATGGACAAAATAGAAAGGAATATAAGTGAATTGATGGAGCTGAAAACTGCAACATGAGAACTTCGTGAAGCATGCACAAGTATCAACAGCCGAATGGACCAAGCAGAAGAAAGGATATCAGAGGTCGAAGATCAACTCAATGAAATAAAACGGGAAGGCAAGACTGGAGAAAAAAGGGTAAAAAGGAATGAACAAAGTCTCCAAGAAATGTGGGACTATGTGAAAAGACCTAATCTACGTTTGATAGGCGTACCCGAATGCGACGAAGAGAATGAATCCAAGCTGGAAAATACTCTGCAGGATATTATCCAGGAAAACTTCCCCAACCTAGCAAGGCAGGCAAACATTCAAGTCCAGGAAATACAGAGAACACCACAAAGATATTCGTCAAGAAGAGCAACCCCAAGGCACATAATCGTCAGATTCACCAGGGTCGAAATGAAGGAGAAAATACTAAGGGCAGCCAGAGAGAAAGGTCGGGTTAACCACAAAGGGAAGCCCATCAGACTCACAGCAGATCTCTCAGCAGAAACCCTACAAGCCAGAAGAGAATGGGGGCCAATATTCAACATCCTTAAAGAAAAGAACTTTCAACCCAGAATCTCCTATCCAGCCAAACTAAGCTTCATAAGTGAAGGAAAAATAAAATCCTTTGGGAACATGCAAGTACTCAGAGATTTCGTCACCACCAGGCCAGCTCTACAAGAGCTCCTGAAAGAGGCTCTACACATATAAAGGAACAACAAGTACCAGCTCAACTAAAGGGCAAAACAGCCAGCTAGCACCAAAATGGCAGTATCAAATTCACACATAACAATATTAACCCTAAATGTAAATGGACTAAATGCCCCAATCAAAAGACACAGACTGACAAATTGGATAAAAAGACAAAACCCATCGGTGTGCTGTATCCAGGAAACCCATCTCACAAGCAAGGATACACAAAGGCTCAAAATAAAGGGATGGAGGAAGATTTACCAAGCAAATGGAGAGCAAAAAAAAGCAGGAGTTGCAATTCTCATCTCTGATAAATTAGACTTTAAAGCAACAAAGATCATAAGAGACAAAGAGGGACATTACATAATGGTAAAAGGATCAATGCAACAAGAAGAGCTAACGATCCTAAATATATACGCACCCAATACAGGAGCACCCAGATACATAAGGCAAGTTCTTAATGACTTACAAAGGGACTTAGACTCCCACACAATAATAGTGGGAGACTTTAACACCCCATTGTCAACATTAGACAGATCAACCAGACAGAAAATTAACAAGGATATCCAGGACTTGAACTCAGACCTGGACCAAGCAAACCTAATAGACATTTACAGAACTCTCCACCCCAAATCCACAGAATATACATTCTTCTCAGCACCACATCACACCTACTCTAAAATTGACCACATAATTGGGAGTAAATCACTC